TGGTGTCCAGTGTAAATTCTCCTTTTTCATTTCTAATTTTATTGCTTGAGTCCTCCCCTCTTTTTTTTTTCTTGATGTGTCTGGCTAAAGGTTTATCAATTTTGTTTATCTTTTCAGAGAATCAGTTTTTAGTTTCATTGATCTTTTCTATGGTTTTCTTTGTCTCTATTTCATTTATTTCTGCTCTGACCTTTATGATTTCTTTCCCTCTACTAACTTTGGGTTTTGTTTGTTCTTCTTTCTCCAGTTGCTTTAGGTGTAAGGTTAGGTTGTTTACTTGAGATTTTTCTTGTTTCCTGAGGTAAGATTTTATTGCTATAAACTTCTCTCTTAGAACTGCTTTTGCTGCTTCCCTTAGGTTTTGGATCATTGTGCTTTCATTTCCATTTGTCTCTAGGTACTTTTTGATTTGCTCTTGGATTTGTTCACTGATCCATTTGTTGTTTAGTAACATATTGTTTAGCTTCCACGTGTTTGTGTTTTTTACAGTTTTTTTCTTGTAATTGATTTCTAATCTCATAGTGTTGCGGTTGGAAAAGACTCTTGATCTGATTTCAGTTTTCTTAAATTTACTGAGGCTCACTTTGTGGCCCAGCATGTGATCAATCCTGGAAAATGTTCCACGTGCACTTGAGAAGAATGTGTATTCTGCTGCTTTTGGATGGAATGTGCAGTTGCTGTGGCAGAGGGAGCTATAAACAACATCAAACCTAAATACCAGGTTTCCTGAACCAAGATTTGCTTTAATGTCAGATTAACAATATCTGGTAAGTTCCAACATCTCAAATAACTTAACATAGCAGGCATAGGTCTGGATTTTAAAGAAACTGACATGATTCATTTAGATGTATTTGTGGGATTGCTTTGAAACAACAGAGCCTTACTGATTGTGATATTTTACATTTTTAATGGAATTCATGGATTTCTCTTGTGTGTCATAGATAATTTTTATATAACTAAGTAATGATTTTCCAGTAGATAAATTGGCAACAAACATAAACATATAATTCTCGGAAGAGGAAATAAAAAGTAAAAACATCTAATTAACATATGTTCAGTGTAGTGTTCAATCTCATAGTAATGAAAGAAATGCAAATTTTAAAAACATGCGTTATGGTGATTTACCTCCTAGTTGAAATGAGCAAAGGGAAAAGCCATAGGAATATAGAACGTGGGCTGAAGAGTAGTGACGTGGACCTCCTGCTTACTGAGGAGGGACAGAAGAGGGCTGTGGTCCCTGGGTTCCATCAGGCTGTGAGAACCGGGGGCATGCTCAGGTTTCCCTCTGTGGCAGGAGTAGGTCAAATAGATGTCTGAGGAGGGGGGAAATGGGAAACAAGTCATCAGTCCTCAAGTCACCCAGAAAGTTCTTCAGGACCCAGCAGGCCTAGTAGTCTGACAGCAGTTTTGGTCACTCTCGTTGTTCCTACAGAAGCTGGCATCCATCACTCCCTCTCTAGTGCTCTGTCATAGTGGCGACTCAGGACTCTTTCTGACAAACTGGCTGAATCAAGAAAGGAATTTGTTGCTTCTCTTGATTGGAAAGTCCAAGGGTAGGGCTTGCTCAGGACAGCTGGAGCTGACAGCCTCAATGGGGTTATTTTCTCTGTCTGTTTCTCTCTGTCAATTCTACTTTACTTTGAATTGGCTTCACTTTAGAGCAAGCTGTCTCCACATGGTGGCCCCTGCCTTGTAGGTCACTCACCATCTCAAATCCTTATAGAAAAATGGAACTAGAAGCCACCTACACAAGTGCACTCTGAGGGTCCAGTGAGATAGAGTATATGTAAATGCTTTCAAACCATAATGTTTCAGAGGAATTTATTTGTTCTTATGGGGTCAGTGGTCTGCTTTGAAGCAGTGTTTCTTTTAACTTGGTATCTATACCTTCTTCCTTGTTTCTGATGTTCAATAAAATGGTATAGATTTTGTTGAGTAGGCCTGGCTTGCAGTTTGGCATGTAGGAAAAAAAGTATCATCCTCTTTATCAAGAATGAAGGACATTGGTATTCTTTTTTTTTTTTTTCGTTTTCTTTTTTAAGGTGGTGTTTAAAAAAATTAAGTTCTGGGGCCATAGGAGCCGGTGGAGGTGCCTCAGGGACCCACAGTGTGTGTGTGTGGGAGGTGTGGGAATGGGGTTGAGAGACAGCTGGCAGGGACTAAATGGGTGGGTTTGTCAGAACAGCCCTGCTTTGTCTGTTTTCTATATCATGATTCCGGGTAAGATTTTACATCCAGAAGGAGAGTGGTGATATAGTTAAAATGGCAGCAACTTTGGCAACAAAAGAGAAGAAATGAGCCAAATGCTGACATTAATTGACAGAAGCTAATGAAGACAGAACTGATCCAATGACTTAAAGCAAAACTGAACACCACTTGATCAAAATCTGGAATCCAATCTGAAAAAAAAAAAAAGAAATTGATTAGTAATAAGCCAAGGTTGTATAGTGTCACAATGGTGAAAGCCTGAGGTCGACTCCCTCCTCCTCCCACCTTCCATCTGAGACTAAGGACACTGACAAGCTTTTGAAATGCACAGGCCCAACTGACCCTCTTACACTGTGTGGAGGACAGTATTAGTGTTTACCAACCTCTCCCTGCATTTGCAGGAGACCCTGTAGCTAGTTCTGGGCAATGAAATATCAGTGGAAGGGATGTGTATTATTCAGCGCTGAGGTGGGAAAAGGCTGATGCATGATTCTCTGGACTTCCTCTTCCTTGCCATGGTGATCAAGAAGGCCAAAAGCTTCAGATGGATGCACCTACAAGATGACGATCCTCTGTCACACTGAGCCCTGATGGGCTGTGCAGGGCTGTGTACCATGAGTGAGAAATAAAGCTTTGTGTTCTTAAACTACTGATGTCTTAGTTACAGCAGCATAAGCGAATATCCACTGGGAGGAAATGTGGAGGCTCCAGGAAGGTTTTTCAGGGTGGGAAATTCCTAGAGGCTGCCTGGAAGAGAGCAAAGCTAGAAGTGCCAAGTGAAGTTGGGGGCTAGGTGAGGAGGGAGAGGAAGTGAATAACAGCTAGCTGAGGAAGCTGTGTGCGTCAGTGGAAAAAACATGCACTTTGGAGTCAAACTGACCCACCTAGGGCTCACATTTAGGTTTTACTTCTTATTTTCTCTTCGAGCAAGTAGACAGCCTCTCTTACTTTTCTCATGCATGAAGCATAATACCTACATTACATGACTGCTGAAAGATTAAATTATACATACATATACACACAAACGCACATGACTAGCATTTAGCACAGTATCTAACAGTTGGTAAGTAATCCATAAACCAAGATGCCCTTTCTTTCTGTCTGCTTCCCTCTAGTACCATTTCTAAGCTTGGTAGCTGCTAAGTTTTGATCTCACAGACTCTACAAGTGGGACTCCTTCAAGTTTAAAGTTCTCACTCCAAGGCCTGCATCCCACAGATCCCTGCTAGAGCTTTGAAACTACAAGGGAATACTGCCAAATCCTGTCTTTAATTGCTTTATTTGTAGTGCCCTTGGACTCTGAAGAGGGACTCTTGGCCATTGTAAATGAGTCTAAAGTCTGGGTGAGTCTGGCTCCCGTCTGTCTTCCCAGGTGTCTGTAAAGGCATTCCCCTCTTCCTGCCTTCTCACTTGTCACTTATAGCAGCCTCCAGCCTGTTTGGTGCCTTCACTTCCTTCCATCCTGACCATCAAGAAATATTTTAAAAGAAACTAAACTTATTAGAAACTGAAGGGAAAGCATCATATCCCAAAATATAAATATGAAAACAAAGAAATGCATGAGTTTACTGGACAGGAAGCTCTCATCTGAACAAATTGGGATCACTCACTGACACCCAGAGGCCTTGGAGGCTATAGCTGTCCACTGACACCCCTGCAAACATGCAGAAATTTCAAACGCAGAAACTACCTGATCCCAAAGTTGGTTTCTTGTTGAATTTTAGTGAAAAAACTTCCCTTGGTTCCACTCTGGTTGGGCTTGGGGACAGGGTGTTAATTTTATGTTACAAAATATCCTTGACTGGAGAGAATATGCAGAACAAAATATTATGTTTTTCAAAAGGAGGCATAAGACTGAGGGGGGAAAAGCTGAGAAATACTGTTCTAGCGACTTGGAACCCCGGGTTCTCAAAGGCAAGGCAGCAGAGAAAGAAGTGAGAGGAGAAAGCCCGAGTATAGAGAGGAAAAATCCCAGAGGGGCCAGGGCAGCATTTCGTGAGTATGAATATTTGTGTTTTCTTGGCTTGTTACCTCATTTACCCTGAACTGTTTAAAGATGGGCTTTCTGAGACATTTCATCCAGTCTTAATGTTTTAAGGGGAGCAAAGGTCATTTGATTTGAAAAAGCAGGGAGGGAGAGTTTTTAACGTGGGGAGCAGCAAACCCTTGGGGTCCAAGGGCCCCTTGGTATTGGTGGGGCAATTCCGGGCCTCTGTTTCCCTTTCTTCCTCTTCGGTGTCTCCAGCCGAACCCCTCTGCAGGTGAAAGCCCAG